TGTGATACCACTGGGACTGTGATCCCCTCACTCTACTGGTTCTTCTCTGAACCACCCCGTACTTCTGATGAACTTCATCAGTGTGACAAGTTTTATCTGTGCAACCTCCGAGACGTCGTCAAGAAACCCACGACCCATGGTTGCGATTCTTTTCCTATATAGTGCTGCGCAATCGCATAGAAGATGTCTAATGGTCTCCTCCTCTTCTACTTCCTGACAGCTTCTGCAATAGTCGTTATATGGCGCGCCAAGTCTACTTGCATGTCTGCCTATTAGACAGTGGCCTGTTAGTACTCCTACGAGAGTTCTTATATCATTCCTCTTGAATTTTAATAGTCGGCATGTGCGGCTCATATTCCATTCTTGCCACGTTTGCCTGCTGGTTGAGCAGGTCAGGGATTGATTCCACTGACACTCGGCTATATTAATGACATGTTTGTCGATTAGGTATCTACACGTAGCCAGAGGCATATTTATGTCCACCTTACCAGGATCTAGTTGTAGGGTGGTGCCTGCTCTGGCTAGTTCATCTGCTACGCAGTTACCAGGGATGTCACTGTGTCCTGGAACCCATTGCAGATTTATAGTGAAATAGGATGACAGATCCGCCAGAAGATCATGGCAATCCTTCACTGTCTTCGACGAAATCCTATGAGACATCAGAGATTTCAAAGCCGCTTGGCTGTCTGTATATATAAATACACTTCTTGTTGTTATTACGCTTTTTGTTAGTACAAGAAGGCTTTCTTTAATTGCAGTGACCTCTGCTTGGAAGACACTACAGTGGTCTGGTAACCGGAAGGCGATTTTGGTATCTAATTTAGCCGAGAAGACACCGCCGCCTACTCGGTTATCCAGTTTGGAACCATCCGTATAGAAGCTAATCCCTTCTTCCTTGTCCACTACATCCCGTTCCCACTCCTCTCTGGAGGGAAAGGTAATATTGAGGACCGGATTTAGGTTCAGCTCCACCGGATTGCGAAAATCCGTAGTTATGGGAAGAACCGGGAACTTCCTAAGTATCCTAGAATGTCCCTTGTTACAGGCGACTAATAGGGAGGCTTCCCGCAGTCTTAGAGCTGACTTCGCTGCCATTTGCTTACAATATAAGTCTGTTGGCAGCAAGTGTAAAATTATGTTGAGTGCCTGGCTTGGCGTAGTTCTGAGAGCTCCACTGATGCAAATACTAGCTGCTCTTTGTATACTTTCCATGCTTCTAATCGCATATTTCTTTTCTGTAATTGGCCACCATACTACTATCCCGTAGGTCATGATCGGCCTTACAATTGCTGTGTACAGCCAGTGAGCCACCCGAGGTGTCAGTCCCCACCTGGGCCCCACCATTCTTTTACATGTGTAAAGCGCTGTAGCAGCTTTCTTTACCCTCGCTTCCAGGTTTTGTTTCCAAGAAAGCTTCCTGTCCAGAATTAGTCCCAAGTAGCTTGCTTTATCCCCCATCGTTAGCCTGGTGCCATTTAAAAATGGCGGCGTGATTTCGGAAGTTCTGTGTTTCTTAGTAAACAATACTAGTTCTGTCTTGCTAGCATTTAAATTCAGTCCGCATGATACGGCCCATCGATTAATCTCGTTTAGTATTGTCTGCATGAGACTAGCGAGGGTGTTCGGGAACTTGCCCCTAACCGAGACTGCCACATCATCAGCGTAGGCCACAACATGTATCCCCTTCTTTTCTAGGTCCACAAGCATTTTATTCATTGTCAGGACCCAGAGAAGTGGGGATAACACGCCTCCTTGGGGTGTACCCCTTCGGACAGATCTGTACATCGTTGAAGCTCCCAGCGTTGAAATAATTGACCTGCCCAAGAGCATCTGTTCAATTAATTTCCGGAGAGGCTCAGATATGCCCAGATCTTTAAGCGCGCTCAATATGGCCTTTGGCTGGATGTTGTTAAAGGCACCTTCTATGTCTAGGAAGGCTACGAGGGTGTATTCTTTTATTTCCAGAGATTTTTCAATCTCTGCTACCACTGAGCTTAATGCCGTTTCTGTGGATCTACCCTTCGAGTACGCATGCTGCGAAACTGCCATTTTTCTTGGGTTTAGTATGTCCTTTATATGTATTTCTATTAGTCTTTCCAGCGTTTTTAAGAGAAATGATGAAAGACTAATTGGTCTAAAATCCTTTGGATTAATATGTGAGCTTTTGCCCGCCTTTGGGATATATATCACCTTAACTTCCCTCCATGTCGAGGGAATATAGCTCAATTTCAGCGCCCCTCTAAACATGGTTGTTATCCAGTTTATTGTGTAGCTCAAGGATTGCTGTAACTGGGCCGGGAATAGACCGTCTGGTCCCGGCGTTTTATAAGGCTTGAAGCTGCCTATTGCCCAATAAACATTGTCATCTGACACTATGTCTAGCGGAGGGGTCTCTGAGCTTACTTCACTCCCCATTATATGCCCCCCTGTGAGGTTCTCGGAACTGTCTGGGAAGTGAGTGTCCATTAGTAGGCCCAGAGTCTCTTTACTGGATTCCGTCCAGCTGTGATCTGGCTTCTGAAGGTATCCGATGCTGTTGAAGGTGTTTAACATGTATTTATATATTTCAGGAATATATTTAAGGAATGGAAGGACCCAAAATTCAAAATAAAGGAAAAAAGGTACACAACACATCCGATTCACAAGAGAAAGAATTATTATTATTATTGTCTTACTTATTATGTACTAAAACGCACAAAATGGCTCAAATGTGTTCTTTAAAACAACAAATAATAACGTAAAGGCAATAGCGCTACTGGGCGTTATCATACTTTCATCATATTCATTTAAAATGTCGATAGCTTTTCTTAGGCGCAAAAAAATTTCAATCTGGCAGTTAAAATGTAAATAAGCATGAAACTCTAAATGGCAACATATTTGCGTTATTGAGTAACAAACCCAACGACGATGGAAGGGTACCACAGTCAGGAATACCAAACCGCCTCCAATATACAATATTTACGCGTGAATACTTCAAATATATTATATTTAAAATCTCTTCCTAGTAAAATTTGTATTGCTCAATGCACGTATTATTTTATACTCTTGCAACATATTGCTACATAGTACCACGCCTACTTCTCATAAAACATAATTTTTAATTCCATCCGAATCTTTCGCATTCCAGTATATACTGTTCAAGCCCCATATGTAAAACCCAGTCCTTATTCCAACCTTTTTATGGAAAATATCGGTCAATATGTGAAATATATTATTGCAATTCGAAGAGAATCCTTTTCTGATAATAGTTAATGTATGTTAATGATAATGGTAAGCATGTACTTGAAAAATGAGTTCAATCGGATCAAATAATTCTCTTAGCACCATATACCTAATACAAAGATCTTCGAACTTCCAGTTGGCTTTATATCGTTTATATCGGTCAATACGTAATGTTAAAGACAAACATAAATCACTTTTACACACAGACTCCTTTGTAACCCAAACCGGTTTATTGTGGGCGAGGGGACGACGAGGAAAGACGAAGGGACCGTGCCACTAGTGTTTGGGTGGCACGCTTCATGTTCTTGTTCGTAACAGCTCGCTGCTACCCTTTTCACTTTCAAATTGTTTGAACGGTTGTAAGAGCACTCGGTTTCAAATAAATTCGTTCACAAATATGAATTCTGTTATCTATTTTTTGTATGTAATATGCAAATAGGAAATTCCTGTTTTAAGTATTTCTTTGAAACTATTAAGCGGGTAGGTATTATGTATATTATTCTACCATATTCATGGTAATTCATTGCAAGCAAACTGTTAGACCATCATCTCAAAATACAAATGAAATATGCAACACGCTCTAAGTGTTGCGCAGTCGAACCGCATAAATATTTACGAAAATTTTGTGAAAAGGAATGCAGAAAAACTAGACTCGAGTTGCTGGACTCTTTTTGCCCGTGTGTTCAGTCAGAATCATATGTTTTCTGTCATATTGACATGTAAAAAAAATTAAAAATCAACCTAATGGAAAATATTAAAAAACACAAAAACACAAAAACAAGGAAAAAATGTTGTTGCAAGGCCTTTTCCATGAAATCAATCTTTTATATTGCTTGGTCCTTTTTAATGCCCATAGGAATGGTGCAAAATATTTCTTTTTCTTCCTCAGGTAATAAAATATTTTTAGATTCTTTGCTGCCATAAGCAGTTTAGCTTAACTTTCCTGGTTTATTTTTATTTTCTTTTAGTTGATTTAAATTTTTTTGCATCAGCTGATGAGTGTCAAACTCATAGATAATCATATGTTCAAAAATTAACATGTGCGTTAGGGCCAAAAGGGCCCCACTTAGACGGTGTGCAGCAATAAATTGAGTTTTATTATTCTATATATTAAGAATGTAATATAAGAATAAATATAGTCCACTAATCATAAATATGTATGTTCTAATATATTTAACATACATACATACATAAACAAACACATAAATATATACAACAAACACATAAATATATATATAGCATATAAGAGATGAATTTAATAAAATAAAGTTAGAATGAAATATTTCTCAGCTTAATGAAGGTCTGTTCTGTCCCCCACCAGCGGTAAGACAATTATAATCTTCACCTAGCACACATTGTTGTATGAAAACCATATGTTTGTCTTTAGCATAAGATATCTTAGCAAAATTAACTGAACGTATAATATTGAATACACTATAGGTTTATGCCAACAACTCCCATATACTAAGAGTAGGGATGTTTTATTTTATTCCAGCAAACCTTATGCTGAATAAGAAATAAGTTGGTGCAAATGTGTGATATTTTAATGAAATTAAGTGGTCAAGTTTTCCTAAAAATTATGTAGTTTAGCGTTTAATATGAATGGATTTTCTGGTTGACGTTTCGCACATCAACTCAATATTTATATTAAATTTATTCACTTCGATTGAGTTTGTATCAGATACATATGTATATCTCATTTAAAAAACCAATTCAGTCTATAAGCTATAGTATAAGTTAATAAGATTCAAATTTGATTGTAATTCAATCACGATCTCGTCGGACTTTGAATATTGAATTGATTTAAAAATCAGGTTTGTCAGAACCTGAAAATATTTCCCCGGCTTTTAAACTTGCAAGTTGTAAGTGTAGAAAATTTTCGGTTACACAGGAACTCAACCCTTGTTGACCATTATTTTGGCTATAGATAGGTGAGAAAGAACATATGAAGAGAACTTGATGTAACTAATTATTAAGTCTTATTTGTTAATTTATGTATACACATAAGTAGTAATACACATTAAGCGATAATTTATGTGTTAATGAATTGTTTGAAAATAATTTATCCGAATTTGATTAATTTCAGCACTCTCAACTGAATTTTCGCACATGTGTTTGACTTACTTCGGTACAGTTAAAAAATGTCAAATTCCATCCCTGTCATACATGCCACAATGTTACACATATTCAAGCAGATTCAGCTGCTCTCGGAGGAATCGCGCCTGTGTAGGTGAGTACGAAATTAAAGACACTGAGACTTCTGTTACCATAAATTTTTTGAACCTTTTTTTATTCTTTGTTCAAACAATTCATGCTTCCTGATTTATTTTATATATTATACAATTAAAATAAATATATTAGACCTTAAAATCTTTCATTTTATTGTCTTTAAGTAAAGTATTAAATAAAGCATTCATAATGACAAAAAGTTTCGTACAGGGCACCGTCCCTTTAGCGGCATAATGTTATTTCATCGCTGTCTCAACAAAGACTAAACGATAGAGCGTAAGCGCACGTGTGAAGTTAGCAATTGTGTTATGAAATGCCGACAACTAATTAAAATATTTTTAAGTCATTGAATATATATATCGGTGACTCCTATGAAACTGGAGGAAAATGACTATCACGTTAATGGATTCCATCATGCAGTTCCAGTCTCAGAACATACTTATACGCCCAAATTCGCATCATGATCTGAGGATAAATTACAGGGAAAGCTACCCAAATCTTAATCAACAGCAACACTAAGCAAAACTTCGATGCTGATTGACAGATTTTACGATTCATACGCTTACCAGCGACCACAATACGTTCTAGAATACGTTCGTCTGAATAGTAATGCATGTCTACTATGATTAAGCTTTAAATGTTGTCCTCTGAAAAGTAGAAATGACGCAACAGAAGTATAGTCAATAGCGGTCAGAATCTTAATATCTGGAGAACGCCGCATTCCAACAAAAGATGATCCTTATTCACGAGCATGTGCTACTCATTTCGAAGCAAATGGGATCGCGGGAACCATGCAACATGACTTATACTATCAATAATTAGAGTATGTACCAAGAATGTACTTTAGTAGAACTTTATACAAAGTTTCCATGTATTTGGGTTGAAAATGACATTACATATGATAACTTTAATAATCGACGCCGTGATATTTAGATTGCACACATGCATACAGTGATTATAATTTTGAAAATAGTTTATGTATGACAAAAAAATATTTGGATAGTGAAATTGCGAAAAATATGTTCCGATGAAAACTACGTTGTAAATGAAAAAAAAATTGCTTTTGAATCACCATACTTCTACTAGGAACACATTGCCTTTCTTCAAGTGGGTCGCCACATGAATGTTCAATATGTGAAGAAGTACTTTCTAGTTTTAGTATGCATCTAATTCGTTCTAGACCATCACCAACAAAAGTTAGAATCATGGGCAATTTCTTCATTTGCACCACCTATATTTGCATTCATTAATACAATTTAAAAATGCTATACATTTTCTTGTCCAACCTGATAATTTGAATATAAATCAATATAAACACTTTACTACGCCCAAGCCAAAAAAACTTATTATATTTTCTTTGCCAAACAATATATGTTTTATTTCGTTAGATTTTTTTCCCACCACCATGGGGTCTGCAACTAGACGCGTTACTTATTTTTACTAAATATTCAATCATATAAAAATATTAAAATATGTTGCCAGTATTGCTAGTGAGCATGGCATGACACAACATTGTTTCGTAAGCTAATTTTAAACAACTTTTTAAGAAAGAAATACATATATCTTCCGTATTTTATACTATGAAGATTTTGCAAATTCAACAAATAATTTGTTTAAGACGTCTATATATTTTAAAACTAAACCTAGAACTATATAATAATATGGTAATATTTTTATGTAAAGAGTTGGGAATAAAATATTGTAAATATTTTCATCGCAAAATGCTGAAATACAGAGGCAGCTACCATATAAACTACGAGTGTACCCATAATTTATTTAACAAGTATACAGACTATATTTAAAAACGAAACCTATTGCCTATATAATAATATGGTAATTTAATTTATGTAAAGAGTCGATAATCAAATATTGTACTTATTTTCATCGCCAAATTCTGAAATATAAATAAAACGTAAATAAAATTTGTGATTAAAAAAATTATATTTGAATTACAGGAAAATCGGCTCTATAATTATTTCTGGATATAACTTACAATGATATATTTTGTTTTATTGTTCAAAAGAATTATTATGACATGTAATACCAAATTCTGCAGCCAAACCAAATGTTACAGCATTAAACATTCTCTAACCAAATTTTAAAATGGTTATAAATATTTATTAGAGTGTTTTTTGATTTGCGCAACCCGTTTTGACTTTTCGCCACATTGACATCAGAGGCGGCCATGTAAGTTTTATTGTGAACGTAGACTTAGGAGGTGGGAATGTACTCTGAATGGTCGCTACTCCCTTATATTATTTATGATTTGAACTGCGCGCTTAGATCATTGTATAAGCCTACAAGTAGCCAAAGAATCAGCTGTTTTCCTATGTGTGTGAAACAGCCGTGATCACCTGATCGAATATGCCTTTTTTTGACACAGAGTTTTAAATAAAAGGTTGTAGTGTAACAATTTGTTTATGAACATGTATTTGTAAAGAAAATTATTATGAAAACTTTCAAGAAAATTTTCGAAACAAAAGATTATTATATATCTATTGCTTTACCTCACCACCTCTGAGGTTGCAATATAGGCGCGTTACCGATCTCTTTTGGGTGTTCGGTTCCCCAGGAGGCCTATATTCACCCATATAATAAATACAGTTCTAAAACAATCTACTTTTCATAACAATTATAACTCGAAAAGATATATACATAAAATCAGGTACATGAATCAGGTTCATGAATAATAATAACATTAACAATATAAGTTGAAATATTCAACTTGATTTAAACAAAAACGAAAATAAATATTTAAAAATCAGGTACAATTCAATTATAAAATAATATATTTGATAAAATTGGAAAGATTTAATAATATTTCAACACAACAAATATTAATTTAAATAATAAAATGTAAATTTAATCTTTAGGAATTAAAACAACCGAAAAATATTTGAATATGTAATAAAAACATTCTTAAAGTTATAAATTTTAAAACATAACACGGCAACACATTATAGCAGATTTCTGTCATTTGGACGTTTTAGTAGCAGAATAATGGTTGGCAACCCGTACAAAGTGTGACTTTAGTAGCAGAATATTGGTTGGCAACCCGTACCAAGTGTGATTTTAGTAGAGAATTTTCGAGGCAACCCCTACCAATTGGGATATTTTTGAATGTGTATTAGTGAAAATCTTAGGATTGGCTACTTGTAGATTTATACAATGGCTTAGATGGAGGAGGAATTGTAATTGAAATTTGTAGTAAATATAAATGTTAGAGAGAAATAATTTACTATTGATATTATTAATACCTCTGAAAAAGTTTATCACTTTTATTACATTTTTTTGCAGTATTCTTTAAGTAAAAACTGATTTCTTTGTTGTCTTTTGTCTCTTTTATTTATTAAAAAATTGTGACGTTCCTTTTGTAACATTTCGTCTGCAATAATGACAAATTTATTACACCCTGTTTAGAATACAAAAAGAGGATTTAACGAAAAAATGTAGTAATTCTGGAAGAAATCACACTTCAAATTATAGGGGTTGCCTTGTATATACAGAATTGAAATCGAAATTACCGCTGGGAATTTAAGCACGCCGAAACCAAATGATAAATATTCGAAGTTATTGAAATCACTGACCGCAGTCAAAAACGTTGTTATGTTAAGAATAACGTAATACATGGAAGTTATGCAAATGTGGTAAAAGACATAACTGTTCAAATGCAATTGTCTCGAAACGAACCAAGGGGAAACGTTAAAAGTGTGATTTTAAATCTTACTCAATGTATGACACAATTTATGTCTGCAATGCAAAATATGATTAAAGATTTAAACAAAGCGCAAAACCCTATGCTGCAACCTTTTTTAATATTGGGGCTCACGTCTAATTCATCTGAAGGGAAAGCAACTGTAATACACTATTTATGAATATAAAAAATAACCTTTACATAATTTCTCTTGCTAAGCCGACATACTGGCAAAGTGATCAAAACAAAATACCATATTTAATTGATATTGCTGTACTTAAAAATATAGATAGATCGCTTATAACTGCTGATACATGTACTGACTTATTTTTTGATTACTCTGCAGTACTAATAAAGCTATGTGAACAACCCTTGGTTGTATCACCAAAAGTGGTTTTAACATCCCATAAAACGAAGTGGTTAAAAAACAAACAATATGTCAGTAGCCACATAAATGTTGATTACAAAAAAACTCAGAAAAAGACATTGAGCAAACCATAAGCAAACTTAATGATTGCAGTCGCCAAAAAAGTGCTAAAGTGTGTGGAATACGTTACTTACCTAAAGAAATTTAGCCCAAATACAACCAACAAACAAAACTACTTTGGAAAGCCCAAAAACACATTATGCCACGGTAGATTCCTACATGTCCATAAGATACGTGAGTAGTAAATTGGCTCGAAGTGATAAGGAAAAAGTAATTTGCTTCGCAAACCACCTAGAGATGGCAATTCAGCCTGATTGTCGAAAAAACGACTTTGAGCTGCCAATTTTAAAAGATTCACAAAGTTGAAATTACTGCAAATATGCTAATGAAGCTACCAATTATTGCTGCAGTAATGCTCTCCTTGCTTTTTAATGCAATTTTATTTTTTGAATATTATCCAAATTCATGGAAAAGTCGCAGATCATCCTGATAGCTAAACCCGAGAAATACTTAACACAGTCGTCTTCTTACAGACCAATAAGCCTCTTACTCTAATTTTCGAAAATATTCAAAGAAATGTTACTATTAATGATGTCCCCTTTTCTCCATAAAAATAATATAATTCAAACACACCAATAAGGGAACCGTCAAAAGCATGGCACTGTAGAGCAAGTAATTTGAATAAATAAAGAAATCAGAAAAGCATTCGAGCACAGAGAGCACTATTAAGCAATATTCCTTGATGTAGCCCAATCATTCGATAAGGTGTGGCACGACGGCCTTTTATATAAAAGACAATACTGGGCATTCGCTTAGACAGAAGGCTCACATGAAGAATACATATATCCACCAAAATAACTAGCATAAAATATGAGCAGCAAATTTAAACTTTCAATTAAAAGTTGTAAGCTATGTCTTTATAACAAAGTTCTGATATACAATGTGGTAATAAAGCCGATTTGAATGTATGGTATTCTAATGTGGGGTGCGACCTGTGCAACAAACATTAACATAGCACAGAGATCTCAGATAAAAAGCCTTAGAGCGATAACGACTCACCATAGTACTTTCGAAATGAAAACGTTCATAAATATCTTGGTATTTTAATGGTAAAGAAACTAGCAGAGGTCTGAAAAATACGAACTTAAATTTCGAGAACATCCGGATCCATTAGCTAGCTCCTGTTATCAAAACCACTTGAAAATAAGAGATATTCCAGTTTTTTAAAGAGCAACGCATTAGCAAAAAGCTTAATCACAATCTTGAGCTTGTTTAGTTATAAATAGATTTAAGATTTTATCACTTTATGTTAGACTTTAAGTAAGCCGATTAAAAAAAAGAAATGTACAATAAAAAAAATTGGTTTTATGTGACCTAAAAATTCGGAGACACAAATTATTGAATTTCATTACACTACTAATGGTATATGTGCTTAATATTACAAGTATGCTATCGTGGGTTTTTATCCCGCCTTTTGCCTATTAGTACCCACGTAAGTATGTAAATATGTGCGTGCATGCTTATGCGGGCATAGGTATGAAAATATGTATTTTTGTGTGTTTATATATATGTATGTACTTGCTTACAAAGTACAAAGCGAAAAGTGAGTGCAATTATATTATGGTCTAATTTATGGTTCTAATTCATGGTCACGGTCATCCGATTTTGCACAATGTGATATTTCTCACCACACAGTATTATCCAACTAATGCATTAGTAGTAGCAGTAAATTTATAATAAGGCCGAAACTAAACTATATTCACACATATTGATACGCAATAGTGATGTAAATTACAATAGGTTGATGCAAATAATAGTTTTCGTCATCGGGAAACTAAACGAAGAATTGTGAAAGAAAATTGTTCTAGGGCTAGTTCGTAGACGATGTTTATGGATTTTTCCTTTACCAAACGAGCTAATGATTTTGCTTGAAGATCTGATCTCTGATAGCTCCAGTTTCCATCAAAGTAGATTCCCATTACCTTTCCTAATTTTGAGAAAACCGTATGCATGATGCAGAATAATCTAAGGAATCATCATCTTTCAGACTTCTCTCCGGAAGTGTGATATCCACACAAGCAACATACTCGAATCGTATCTTTTCGAACAGGCGTTTGAGACAGAAGGCAAATTCGGGCGATCGGAAGTGGCGAGTTCGCTTCTATTCCTCACTTCTCTTCTCCCCTGTTATTCTTAGGGGCTGTGGGACATCCGCTTTGGCATCGGTCGAGAGAAGCCTAAGTATCACCTTCTTGAAATCAAAGATGATAGTACATTTGGCGTCGCCGAGAGGACCGAGGGACTTCTTATTAGGAGTTCATTTAGCGAATGTGACACTCTCGTACTTGACCGATTGTTATCTCTCAAATCATTCCCATGAATTTAGTTCCTCTGCTGGTGCTGGCGATTTTGCAACGTTGACTGTCAGTTACCTCCTGATGAATCCCGCTGGCCCCCGGGACACTGCCCCAACGAGAAAAACAAGGGACATTTTTTAGGTTTGTTTGGTCCCCACTTAAAGCCGTTTCATATCCCGTCAAGTAGTCGTCTTTAATGGTCCCAGCGAGATCTCTGTTAAGATGTAAAGGCGAGGATTGATGCACACACCTACAAGCAATGCGTTCAGAGCAGACTAATGCAAAGTGGGACTAATCTCAATCTATATTTACTTAATAATGACTGAAGAAAAACTTATTCTGAGGCACTCACATGCGAAGGTCTAAGGTCGGGTGTAACCCAACAGTTTATACTCTCGTAATTAGGCAGAATCAAAGCCTCAAAAAAACTTTCGGGTGTTGGCAAAATATTATATTAAAATATGTTGATTAAGTATTCAACATTCCTTATTCGTGGAAATTGTGAATGGACTATATTCATATTTGATATCTTATTAACTTATAGTCTAAGTATATATAACTCTATATCTAACTCGATTAGCTTTAGATATTACAAACAACCACTAGGTGAACAAAATTATTATACTCTGTAGCAACATATTGTGAGAATTAAAAATTGTTGAAATTGTCAATGGATTACAGTCAAATTTGGTATCTTAAGTCATAACCTCCCTAAAATTAACATAATTATCTCAAATAAGATAAACATATGTGATATTACAACAATTTCATCAAAACGGATAATTGTTGTCTTAAGGCTTAGACCGATTTCTTTCATAATCAGCGCTAAACCACATTATATTTAAGAAAACATATTAACTTAGTTCTAGTAAAATATCACACATTTTGACTAACACAAGCGGTTTAAAGTCAGCTGGAAAGTATAAAATCACTATACAGGGTACATTGCGAAAGGTTTGTTCTGATTGCATTAACTTGTATCATTACTCAAGTACGAGTATATGAGTGTATAGCTAACTTGATTCACTGACACTGACTGACATGTTGTGCATATTCCACGTTTGACTGCCGCATGTTTGAAAATCTTTATATAATATTAGGTATATCGAGGCTAGAAGAACTACAATCCTAATTTACTTGATTTTGCTACAGGGGCGTATTAATATTTTCAATAATATATATAACCAATTGACCGATATTTTCGGTAAAAAGTCATCTATCGGAATGAGGCCACATATACGGTACCTGGCGGATAAGCAAGTTATAGTTCGAATACAACAATTTTTAGACTTAAAGTTGCATACCTCAAAAATACTTCTCTGCATAGTTTAATAATTAATTCAAATTATTGTCTCTTGAATTATATACTGTAAAGTGAAAAATGTGGCAGCTGAAGTAATTTGAAGACCAATTTCGTCCATTTTAACAATCAAAATGTATTATATCCTAGTAGCCATTTTACGTTTACTTAATTCGACAACATATCTCTTCTTTTTTTTTTTTTTGTTAATATACCTTTATTTATTGAATCTGCATGTTCAAAGACTAACAATAAGGAATAAAATCTTAAATCTATTTAAACTACTCTAAAACATTGTATAGCAGAACTTTGTTGTAAAGACTAAGCTCACAATTTTTATTTACAAGCCAATTTAAATTTGCTCCTCATATTTTTATGCTATTGCTCTACATTGCTGTTTTGACCGAAACCTGAATTGGTGTCTTGGAATTATACTATTTTCATGGAGGAAAGAATGTATGATTTATAGTAACACTTTTTTAAATACTTTGGAAAATCAGGAAAAGACGCTTATTGCGACTTTTCCATGAATTTGGATTATATTCGTAAATTAAAATTGCATTAAAAAGTAAGGAGAGCATTACTACAGAAATATTTGGTAGCTCCATTAGCAATATGTTTTTGCGCTTTCCAAAGAGAGTTTTTTCATTGATGTATTCTTCCACACACTTAAGTGCTTTTCTTAATTTGCGTACTGCAAACCTCAATTGAAGCTGAACGAAAGGGAAGGGATTTACTTGCCATTCGCGTCTAGCTCATGTTTTTTTCAATCACAATCTTTTCTATTTCAACATTTGTTATTCCTCTAAAACAAGGCGGCTAGTTAGTTTTGCCAGAGAATGTAAAAGAACGAGAAGGTGCAGGTTCGACATCGAACAATTTGTAGGAATTTATCAAGGAGTTCACCACACATGCGTGAGAAACAAATAACATTTCTCGCTTTTATAACAGCGGTGAATCTGTACACATACGCTCTTTTAACATAACCAACCGACGAATATTGAAGAGAATATAATATGTATATACGCAAAACTGGGAATATTGATATGCCATTTGAAATTTGAAATATATTCCGCTTTATTGAACTATTATTTATTATTATTTTAAAATTATTTTATGTTAATTCATTTTTACTTTATTGTGAATTATTAATAATAATTTAAACATATTTTGATATATTTCTTAAAATAATTCATGTACTTGATAGCATTATGGATTCACAAAAGTACAGAATTGTGTTTTGCCGTCGGCATTTCACATTCATGCTTCGATTTTTCTTTTCAAATGCATGTGTAAAAGTAATTATGTACGTAAATATGTACTTCTTTTTCGTTTTGACCCATTTTACATATTTATTAAAGCAAGTGTCAATAATTGCGCCAAAATCAAAGAAATACACATTTACATATCAAATATGTACATACCAGAGAGAACTTGTAACAATTTTCTTCTTGTATGTTCTATTTAAATATGTATTGAACGTGTCTAGCTTTCTTTGTTCTGCATAGGTGAAATTGTCAAGTGTCGATAATTGCGCCAAAATCAAATACATTATGTATTCATTTACATATGTTTTAAGCTTATATAAAATTGAGAAGTGTCAATAATTCCAATTTGTATGTAGATATGTACACTCATTACTTCATGTGAAATCTCCGTTGACACGTTTTGTGCTTTTATGTCCAAGAGTCAATCTGTCGAAGGACTGACGCGACGACAAAGCGTCACAACAGTGTGTTGTTGGTAGAAAATCCGAGATGTGCCATACACACTCTTACAAACATACATCGCATATGGGCAAGTGCAAAATCAACCCCTATTCATATACAAATAAATCAGCGGAATATTGAATATTTTCTTTAAAAAGTTTCTTGAATTGTAAACCGACAAATATACTATGTTGTCACTTTTATTCTAAAATATTTTAATACTCATATTTGAGGGGTTGTCACTTTTCCCTTCTAGAGGGAATATCAGAAATTTGTTCAATTTATGATTTTTAGCTTTTGCCATCGTCGTGAGAAGACGCTTGTAGGCAAAAGCATGCTCGGGGGGATGTGAGGGTATCTGTTTTATGAATGAAGCGAGGTTGCTTGTTAAAAGTACGCCTGCGTTCATGAATGAAAATGTTGTTGTTGTATATTTTACTATAAATTTGGGATTCGGCTATTTGGATGACATATTGACTTGTGACTATTGTTGTTTTTGTAGAACAATGTTTGTAGTTTTTGCGGGTGACATATTAACGTTTTGTACAACTAGTTTTGTGGGTGAATATTAACATGTGTACGCATATACATATGTATGTATGTTGGTTTGTGTATGCATTATTTTTGGCAATTTATGTATACATACATATATGCGTGTATATAAATCAATGCGCGCACATATAGTGTATTGATAAGATAAAATCATGATTTGAATTTTGAATGCGTACATCAAATACATACGTACATACATAGACTATATAAGATAAATATGATAAAAGATGTATATACATACATATATGTAATAAATTTAATCTCTATTATTATAATATAAACTATTTAGTATGAATGTATATTAGGTAAAACTAAATAAAATTATTAAATGCCAAATTGACTAAATATTAATTAGAAATTCCATAAATTATAGATCTTATCAGTTTTGTATGCATTCATAAAATTCGCAAAATGATATTCATATCAATAAATATGATTGCATATAAACGTATAAGAATATAAGCCAAAAGGCTAAATGCAGCTGTAGTATCAAAGCAAGTCTCTGAGAATAATTTTCATTGAATTCAGCTCTGTCTACTCTTCACTGTTAAAATTTCTCCTTCCGAAGATTTGGTGAAATTCATAATAAAATCTTGTTAGGTTTTGAAATTCACGATGGTCCGCAATTGAACCTCTCTATGATATACGTTCTGGAAAATCCGAGATGTCATACACACTCTTACAAACATACATCGCATATGGGCAAGTCAAAATCAACCCCTATTCATATACAAATAAATCAGCGGAATATTGAATATTTTCTTTAAAAGTTTCTTGAATTGTAAACCGACAAATATACTATGTTGTCACTTTATTCTAAAATATTTTAATACTCATATTTGCGGGTTGTCACTTTTACCTTCGAGAGGGAATATCAGAAATTTGTTCATTTATGATTTCTAGCTTTGCCATCGTCGAAAAGACTCTTGTAGGCAAACGTATGCTGAGAGATGTAAGGCGTTTGCTTTATGAATGAAAATGTTGTTGGTGTGATTTACTACAATTTAGGATTTGGCTACCATATTGATTTTGGTGCTCATCTATTTGAGACAATTGTTTTGTACAACAATGTTTGTATTCCCTTATTGCTGCACTTACATTTGTACGTTAAATGTATGTAGATTTGTGATGCATTACTTATTGCGCGGTCGTACGCATATTTGTACATACATATTACATATAGAGCAGTGCGCTACATGTTTTCATTGATAATTGATAATATATTATTAAAGTATATTATATAATATAAATATTGATGTACATATGTACATACATAAATTATTAATTTTGTAACAACTGAAATTAGAAAATTATGAAAATAGTAAATATCATTTCTTGCATAATCTTTCAATTTTATCAATGTAGCATTTGTGCAAAAATCATATTTTATCAATTTTCATCATAAAATCGTATATATGGCAAAAATAACATGCCATGTGAAGTGGCATTTATTTTTGTTTTCTATTCATTTCATTTAATTTTTCTTTATGTTGGAGATACGTAATTTGTCAGAGAACGCTCTATAAAATCTCATTTCTGTTAAATAGAAAATAGTGAACCCTTGATCTCAAATTTTCAGCCAACCAATCGAGCATCATACAAATAATTTGCACCTTCTCGTTGTTCTAAGTTCTGGTTTTGCTTGGTGTTGCTAAGACAGTTGCATTTGTCATTATATCATTAAATTCACTAATGCTTTGGTCAATATCTCTTCCTGAGTTTCTTCTTTAATCAATTATATGATATATTTTTATTATT